CTTCTGGGACTGAGGGTCAGGGTGGGTGATGTCAGAAAGGCCTCAAGGCAGGTCCTCATGAGGGCTGTCCTGGGACACTGAGAGTGGCGAGGTGTAGACAGAGGGCCCTCTGTTCTTTGAAGTCAATTCTGAGAAAGCAGTTAGGTCCTCCCAGCTTGTACGGTTGGTTTCTGTCCCTAAGAATGATGTTGATATGAACTTCAGGGCCTGTCGAGGCCAAATCATGAGCTCCCAAGCCCACATCAGCCTCTGAAACTGTCTTGTGGGTTTTACAGTTGTGTATGGAAAGTGACTGAAACATGAAAATAGCCAGGATGGTGGTTGGGATGGTGAGGGTGGCAGTGATTACTGGTGATGGTGATGATGGTGATGGTGATGGTGATGATGGTGATGATGGTGATGCCGATGATGGTGATGACAGAGGGGGTTATAGCCATGGTGATGATGGTGGTGATGGTGGTGGTTGATGGTGATGGTGATGGTGATGAGGATGGTAATGAAAATAACAAACATTGGTTGAAGTTAACAGATTTAACAGGGGGAGGAGGATTGCTTAGGGATATAGCTGGTTCCCACCAGGAAAGCAGGTGAGCTGACAATCTAGACATGCCCACTAGCTCTCCACATTCCCTGTCGTGTCCCCCACCTCATCCGCTCCCGCAGGAGATGATCCAAGAAGCCTCTCTTTTCTGAAAGAGGACTTGGAGGTGAATGCGCTGGTTCCATCTCTGCGTATCGGCCCCTGCACGTCCTCCCAGATAAAGTCTGTGTGAAGACTGGAGAAGTAGGTACGCAGGGGCAATAGATATGGGCAGGGGCTGGCAGGGAAGGCTCATCCCCCTGGCTTGTTAGTGGGAGACCGCCAACATAGCAGCCCTGCCAAGCTCAGCTTGCACTCCTGATCTAATTAGCAATGTGGACCATTACACTCTATGCCCCACAGAAGCCCACTCACCGGGAGCCTTTCAGCTCAAACACTGCTTAAATATGAAACAATTCCTATCTCCCAGCGAGAGTCCAGGCACAAATCAGTTCTAATTATGCAGTGTTGATTAATCAAGTTAAATGAATAATAATAAAATAACCCCCCCAACAAATAAAATAATTAACATTCTGAGTTATTTCTGCATATTTAAAGGAACAGGGAGTTTTCATTCTTGACTCCCTTCCTGTTCTTATTATTCCACTTATTCATTAAGGTCATTTGCTGAGCACTTACTTATGCCAGGCATGGACTGGGTGCAGGAATGAGAAATAAACAAGTCAGAGAAGGTGCCCACCCTCCTAGGGCTATAGTCAGGAGAGGGGCATGGTCCTTCAAGGAAAAGACATGAAGACTAAAGTATACCTTGGGAGAAGATCAAGCATGTTGTGTGTAAAAGGTTGTGGGAGAGGATAATTAGGGGGACTAACTCAGATAGGGGGGATGATATTTAAGTTGAGACCAGAAGGAGCTGGTTTGCTGAAGAGTAGAGGCCAGAGTGGTACAGGGAGAAGAAACAGCACATGAAAAATTCCTGGGGTCAGAAGGACTGTGCTGAAGACTAAAGAAGGACCTGGGACAGTGTGTGGTGAGGGGGAGGAAGAGGGAGGGAGCCAGCAGCCAGACCTGCAGGGCCTCGCCGCCTTGGCCAGCAGGACTGTTTACTCAAGTTTCCCTGGAAGGGTTTTAAGCAAAAGAGTGGCTTGATCATTTGGGAGTACTGCTAACCACAATTGACACCATGGGGACCTGTTTGCCTCTTCAAAAGTCCATCATCAGGATGGCCTGCAGCCCTGTGGAGGCTGATATGGACAGGTGGGGCCATGTGAGTTGGTGTGACGTGGGTCACAGCAGAAGCTGGACTATCGTGACTTCAGGCACTAGGGATCCAGGGAAATGGTGACAGGAAATGGACTTTCCAAGAGTATGCAGAGCATAAGGGCTTCCTGGGTGTCAAGGTCAAGACCCCTTACTCTGTAGAGCCTGGCCCCTGTGTGGTAGTGTTCAGTAGCATACAAGATGGGTCATTTGGATGGCCGGACCCTCTGTGTTTGATGCGAGGATGTGTTTTAACCCTGGTCTTTGCTGAGGAGCCCGGGGAGGGCAAACTGCTCCACAGGTTGAGCCAGCTGCAGCAAGGGCAGGATGGCAGAGGGGGCAGCCAGGCCAGACGGACCTGGGAAGAGGCCCAGTGCCACCAGGTACAAACATGGGCCACCTCTCCCTAACCCTGAGCCACAGGTTCTGCATCTGAAAAATGAACACAATGTCTAACCACTACCTGGTGACATTGCCCTATTTAAACACACACACACAACACAACAACTGAACAAGCCCTTTACGATGCCCTGGGTTGTAAGGCTTGGCTCTCTGAGTATCCAGGACAGGGGCTGGAGTTGGGGCAGAGGGCAGCAAGTCAGGTAGGATCAGCACTATCTTCAGCCTGGTGAGGAGGCTGTCCACAAAGGGGTTTCTTACCCCAGAAGATATCTCAGTTTCAGCACGATTGGTGGACATGTAAGAACAACCCTGGCTGTTTGGACCTCAGATCAAAACTGAGGCTTTGTGCACTGTGCCTCGATTCCTTCCCCAGACCCAGTCTTTGCTGCCAGCAACTAGAAACACAGCTCAGTTCCATATAGGAGCTCAGGATCCCACATGAATCAGGGTGTGTGGAGGGAAGTGGGTAGGTCATGCAGGTGAGGTGGGAAAGGGGAGTAGAAAGATCACAATGAGCTTGTCCACTTAGGGAATGTGTGCATTTTACAAAAAGCAGGCAGTGGGAGCCCTTGAGGGGTGATGTGGGGGGTGGGGAGAGTGGGGGGAGAGAGAGAGAGAACCAGCGCTTTCAGAGAGTACCATACAGCCCCCATCCACATGGTCCCTGGCACATAGCAGGTGCTCAGCACACACTTCCTAAGACACTGCATAGCACATCCTGCAGCGAGCAGTAGGAAATTCAACAGTGAGTTTCTAATAGAGGTCCTGAGTCAAGGGAGGTGGAGGGGAGGGGAATACTGGTAACCACCACACACACACCTCCACAACATCCTCACCTGGCTGCATAGGTGAGACGGACCTATGCAGGGCCTAGCCCACCCCAATCACTGCCTGAGAGGTAGGATCCACTATAAGGTGTCATGGTCAGAGGGAAGCAGGAGCAGACGGGCCAGGGCTTCCCCTCCTACTCTTCCAGGTTTGACTTACAGAAGGGACAGGCCTGGGAGGGGTCGTGGATGCCTGGCTTCTCCCGGACCCACTTTGCAGGTCTGTTTGGGGGATGCTGAGGGACCACATAGGATCTCTAAGCCTCCCATGATCACATAAGTGGCCCTCTCCACCCAGTACCTACAGACTTCTCAGGATGTGTTTCCCTCCCACCCTGACCTCTGAGCTGGGGTCCCACAGCCTCCGAGACTTTTGCAACAGCACAAGTGGGTCTTATTGCTGGTTGGTCCATCCTTCTAAGTATAGCAAAATGCAGTCATGCGTCAATGGGGTTGTGTTCTGAGAAATGCGTTGCTAGGTGATTTAGTCACTGTGTAAGAACACCCTAAGATGGGACAGTCTCCTACATGTCCCTGGGCTATGTGGTATAGCCTGTTGCTCTGAGGATGCACACTATACAGCATGTGACAGTACTGAATACTGAAGGCAACTGTAACACATACATACTTTTCTATGTATTTGTATATCTAAACATAGAAAAGGTACGGTAAAAATACAGGATGAAAAATAGGAAATGGTCCCCCTGTATAGGACACTTACCATGAATGGTACTTGCAGGACTGGAAGCTGTTCTGGCAAGTGAGTGAATGAGTGGTGAGTGGTAAGTGAACGTGACATTACTTTATAAACAGACTTTATAAACACTGTACACGTGGACCACACTAAATTTATTTTAAAATGTTTTTCTTCAGTAATAATGAAACCTTTGCATACTATAACTTTTTTATATTGTAAACTTTAAAATTTTTTTAGCTTTTTCAATTCCCATTTATTTTTGGCTCTTGGGGCAATGTCATCTTTTCAATATGAAAAAAAGCAGCAAGTTCAACACAAAATAGAAATCTGAAGTGTAGGATAAGACAAAACCAAGGGGGGTGGGAAGGCAACAGCAAAAGAAATGAGATGTTGCAAAAAAGATGGAGGGTGTCTTGTCCTCTCTCCTCTGGGAAATGACTAACTTTCAGGTGGCAGTGTTCACCTTTCCACGTTAAGTCAATGATGTTATTCATTTTGGGGGGTAAAAAAGTGGTAATGGGGATGGCATTTCTGGAGGCTTAGGGACAAAGGGTAGTCCCTCCTAATCCCCTTCTCTCCAACCAAGGCAAAAGAAGAATGCTAATATGTGAGGGAAGGATCTTGCTTTCTTGAAAGAGTGGCGCTGACCCCTCCTCATAGGACAGAGCTTGGAGGGAGACTGAAAATGGAGATAATACTTGGTAACACCTCCCTTGAGGCTGAGGAATGGAACATTAAAATATCTGGAAAATATAACTTGAATAGCCTGGATTTCCCTCTCCTGAACTGTTCTAGAATAGAAGATATCATCCCATTCCTTATAGTGACTTCTAACTGCTACCTTCTGCTTTCCACACCTTTGCTACTCTTGGGCTTAGGCTAGTGCCATTATCTGGGTTTTTGGCATCTGATTAGTTCTAAATTGGGTCTGGATGAGACCCAACTTCTTGGAGACTTATTTTTGAAATGGGAAAATGTTAACTGGACAGATGGGAGTAGGTACCAGAAGGAAATACAGGGTTACCGAGAATGGCAGAAATCTAGATTTTCCCAAAGTGGAAAGAGAGAGGAGACAATCAACAAACAAATATTTATTGAGCACCTATTATGTGGCCAGGCACTGTTCTAGACCACCCCTCTCCAAGGGGGCGGGGAAGAGGCAGCAAACACAAATTCTGAAGGAGAGGAAAGGGGCAGATGAGGAAGAAGGCTAAGGGAACTGAGAAGCATGAGGTGATGGGGGCTCTACCTTAGGCCTCTTCTTTGGCCTCCTCACCGAAATCCTCCTCTTCTTCTGCGGTGGCATCCTGGTACTACTGATACTCAGAGACAAGGTCATTCATGTTGCTCTCAGCCTCGGTGAACTCCATCTCATCCATGCCCTCACCTGTGTGCCAGTGGAGGAAGGCCTTCCGGCAGAACATTGCCATGAGCTGCTCAGAGATACGCTTGAAGAGCTCCTGGATGACTGTGCTGTTACCAATGAAGGTGACTGCCGTCTTGAGGCCACAAGGCAGGATATTGCAGACAGCTGTCTTGAGATTGTTGGGGATCCACTCCACAAAGTAGCTACTATTCTTGTTCTGCACATTGAGCATCTGCTCATCCATTTCCTTCATGGACATCCGTCCATGGAACACAGCAGCCACGGTGAAGTACCAGCCATGGCGGGGGTCACAGGCAGCCATCATGTTCTTGGCATCAAAGACCTGCTGGGTGATTTCAGGGACTGTGAGAGCCCGATACTGCTGGCTTCCACGACTGGTGAGAGGGACAAAGCCAGGCGTGAAGAAGTGGAGACGTGGGAAGGGCACCATGTTGACTGCCAGCGTGCAGAGGTCAGCATTGAGCTGGCCAGGGAAGCGCAGGCAGGTGGTGACACCGCTCATGATGGCTGAGACGAGGTGATTTAGATCCCCATAGGTTGGTGTGGTCAGATGGAGGGTGCAGAAGCAGATATCATAGAGGGCCTCATGGCCAATGCGGTAGGTCTCATCATTGTTCTCTACCAACCGATAGACAGAGAGGGTGACGTTGTAGGGCTCAACCATAGTGTCTGACACTTTGGGTGAGGGCACCACACTGAAAGTGTTCATGATGCAGTCAGGATACTCTTCTTGGATCTTGCTGATGAGGAGGGTGGCCATTCCAGAACCTGTGTCCCCACCCAGCGAGAGGGTCAGCTGGAAGCCCTGCAGGCAATCACAGCTCCATACCACATCCAGGACATAATCAACCAGCCCAGCCCCCTCTGTATAGTGACACTTTGCCCAGTTGTTGCCTGCCCCAAACTGACCAAAAACAAAATTGTCTGGTCTGAAGATTTGCCCAAAAGGACCAGAGCAAACAGAGTCCGTGGTCCCAGGTTCTAGATCCACTAAAATAGCATGAGGAACATATTTGCCACCTGTGGCTTCATTGTAGTACACGGAGATATGGTCCAACTGTAGGTCACTGTCCCAACTGTAGGTCACTGTCCCGTGGTAGGTACCGGTGGGGTCAATGCCATGTTCATCACTGATCACCTCCTAGAACTTTGCACCGATCTGGTTGCCACACCGACTGGCCTGGATATGCACGATTTCCCTCATGGTTAAAATTTATTTTAATTTTGTGGCTCAACTCAAGGTATGTATGGGACAAGAAAATAAGTAATATATTTTCTTTTCTCTGCAGGTCGCAGACTGAAAGGATGAAATCTACCCAGAAACTGGAGCAGCAAGTTTCCGAACGCAGTGGCAGGAAGGTTCTGAGAGGGAGAAAAGCTAAACTTCAAATTTTTAAATAATTTTTGCCTCTTTTGTAATAAAAGTTAAGTTAAAACACAGACATATTGTATAACTGTACAAAAATATTTTGTTTATATTCTTATTCTAGAAGCCTTTCTCTATTTTTAAATGTTAAATTTTTAAAACTTTTTTAAAAAAAATCTAAGGCACAAACATTAGCCTAGACCTAACAGGGTCAGGATCATCAATATCACTGTCTTCCACTTCCACATCTTGTCCCACAGGAAGGTCTTCAGGGACAATAACATGCATGGAACTGTCATACAAATGTAGGTGTCCTTTTTGTAGAGTGATTTGTGTTCCTTTGACTGTATTTCCAGAATTGCTAGGTCAAATGGCAGTTCTATTTTTGTTCTTTGAGAAGTCTCCAAACTGCTTTCCACAAAGGAAGAACTAGCTTACGTTCCTACCAGCAGCGCACAAGGGTTCCCTTTTCTCAGCAACCTTGCCAACATCTATTGTTTTTTGACTTTTTAATAATAGTTACCTGACTAATGTGAGTTGGTATCTCACTGTAGTTTTGATTTGCATTTCTTAGTGGCTGCTTGTACACCTTCCTTTGAGAAGTGCTTGTTCAAGTCCTTTGCCTACTTTTAATGGGGTTATTTATGTTTTCCCCAAAAATTTGTTTGAGTTCCTGGATGTTAGGCCTTTGATGCACAATCTGCAAATATTTTTTCCCATTCTTTGGTTTGTCTCTACATTCTTGGTGGTTTATTTTGCTGTGCAGAAGCTTTTTAATTTGTTAAGGTCCCATCTTTCAATTTAATTTTTACTGCATTTGTTCTTGAGGATTTGGCCATGAATTCATTGTGTTCCCTAGGTTTTCTTCTAGGATTCTTATAGTTTGAGGTTTCACATTTAAGTCCTTGACCCTTGAGCTAATTTTTTATATGGTAAGGATCCGAATTTATTCTTCTGCTTGAAGTTAGCCAGTTTTCCCAGCACCATTTGTTAAATAAGGTTTCCTTCCCCACTCTTTGTTTTTGTTGGCCTTGTCAAAGATGAGTTGGTTGAAGGTCTGTAGTTTTATTTCTGGGTTCTCTACTCTGTTCCATTGGTCTATGTGTCTATTTTTGTACCAGTACTATGCTGTTTTGATTACTGTTGCCATATAGCAAAGTTTGAAGTTTGGAAATGTGATGCCACCAGCTTTGTTCTTTTTACTGAATATTGCTTTAGCTATTCGAGCTTCTTTTTTCTTCCATAAGAATTTAAGTATTGTGTTTTCTAGGTCTGTGAAAAAATGTTGCTGGTGTTTTGATAAGGATTGCATTGAATCTGTAGATTCTTTGGAAAGTGTGGATATCCTGACAATATTCCCTGTCATGCTAGGGAACCAATCTATGAGCATGAGATGTTCTTCCATTTGTTTGTGTCATCTTTGATTTCTTTGAGCAGCAATTTGTTCTCACTGTAAAGATTTTTCACCTATTTGGTTAGCTGGATATCAAGGTGTGTGTGTGTGTATGTCTATTATGAATGGGATTGTATTTATGATTTGGTTCTTGGACTGCTTGTTGTTGATGTATAGAAAGGCAACTAATTTTTGCACATTGATTTTGTATTCTAAGCCTCTACCAAAATTGTTTATCAGTGCTAGGGGAGATTTTTGGCAGACTCTCTAGAGTTTTCTAGGTATAGAATCATGTCATCTGTGAAGAGGGATAACTTAATTTGGCTTCCTCTTTTCCTATTTGGATACCATAATTTCTTTATCCTGCCCAATTTCTCTGGCTAAAACTTCCAATACTATGTTAAATAAGAGTGGTGAAGGTGGATATACTTATCTTGTTTCAGTTCTTAAGGGGGATGCTTCCAGCTTCTGCCCACTAAATATATGTTGGCAACAGGTTTGTCATATATGGCTCTTATTACTTTGAGAAATTTTCCTTCAATGCCCAGATGCTTGAGGATTTTTATCAAGAAGGAATATTTGATTTTTATCAAATGTTTTCTCTGCATCTATTGAGATAATCATGTGTGTCTTGGTTTTATATCTGTTTATGTAGTGGATTATATTTATTGATTTGCATAGGTTTAGCCAAGGCTGCATCCTAGGAATGAAGCCCACCTGATCATTATGTATGAGCCTTGTAATGTGCTGTTGGGTGTAATTTACTAATATCTTGTTGAGAATTTTTGCACCCATGTTCATCAGGGAAATTTGCCTGTAGTTTTCTTTCTTGGTTGGGTCTTTGCCATTTGGGGAGTATCAGGATGATATTGGCTCTATAGAATGAGCTAGAGAGAATTTTTTCCTTCTCGATTGCTTGGAATACTTTCAATACGATTGGTGTCAGGATTCAGCTAAGAAACCATTTTAACCAGACTTTTATTGATGGGGAGGCTTCTTATTACTGAATTAATTTCTTGGATTGCTATCAGTCTGTTTAGGTTTTCAATTTCTTTCTTTTTCAATCTTCAAAGTTTGAGTTTTGCCAGGAAGGTATCCCTTTGCTCTAGATTTTCTAGCTTAATTGCATATAGATGTTCATAGTAATCTCTGATAATTTTTTGTGCTTCTTCAAAGTCACTTGTAACATTGCCTTTTTCATTTCTGACTGTGTTCATTTGAATTTTCTACTTCTTTCATTCATTCTTCTTTGTTATAGTGGTTAATCTGGCCAGGAGTCTGTCAGTCTTATTTATCCTTTCAAAGAACCAGCTTTTCAACTTGCTGATCCTTTGGGTTTTTTTGGTTGGTTTTTTTTTGGTTTTTTTTTTTTTTTGGTCTCTGCTTCATTTAGCTGTGATTTTATTTTGATAATTCCCATCCTTCTACTAGTTTGGGAATTGAGTTGTTTTTGTCTTTCTCACTCCCTTCAGTATGATATTAGACTGTTTGCTTGAGATTTCTCTATTTTCTTGATGTGTGTGCAAAATCCTGTAAACTTCCCTCTCAGCACTGTTTTCATGGTATCTTAGAGGTTTTGGCATGTCGTATCTTTGTTTTCATTTGTTTATAGGGATCTACTTATTTCTGTGTTAACCCAGAAGTCATTCAGAAGCATATTGTTTAATTTCCATGTATTTTTGTGTTTCTTTGGGAGGGGGCGGGATCTGTTGGTGATTATATTTATTATATTATTCCACTATGGTCTGAGAAGATGTTCAGTATGACTTCAACATTTTGAAATTTGTTCATGCAAGATTTGTGGCTGAGTATGTGGTCAATCTTAGAATATGTTCCATGTGCTGATGAAAAGAATGTATATTCTGTAATTGTTGAATGAAGTGTTCTGTAGATGTCTATTAGATCTAATTGATCCAGTGTTGAGTTAAGGTTCTGAATTTCTTTGTAAGTGTTCTGCCTTGACAATCTGTCTAAAGCTGTTAGCAGGGTACTGAAGTCTCTGACTATTATGGTATAGCTATTATGGTATAGCTGTCTATGTCCTCTCTTAGGACAATTGTATTATAAATCTGGGTGTTCCTATGTTGGGTGCGTACACATTCAAGATGGATATTTCTTACTGGTGAATTAAGCCCTTCATCATTATGTAATGCCCTGTATTGTTCTTTTTAACTTTTATTGGTTTAAAGTCTGTTTTATCTGCCATAAGAATAGCTACTCCTGCTTATTTTTGTTTTCCATTTGCCTGTAAGATCTTTCTCCAACTCTTTACCTTGACCTGTGAGTGTCACTTGTGGTGAGATGGGTTTTCTGAAGTCAGCAGAAGGATAGATCATGCTTTTCTACTCTATTTGCCACTCTATGCCTTTTGGGTAGCATATTGGGTCCATTAATATTTAAATTGATTATAGATATGTTTGGGGTTTGTTCCTGTCATATTATTATTAAGAAGATGCTTTGTGTTTTAGGCTTTGTAATTGATGTGTATGGTCTATAAACACTAAGGTTACCTATGTTTTTGCAATGGGTGGAAGCATTCTTTCATTTCTGTGTTTAGAACTTTATTAAGCATCTCCTGAAGGGCTGATCTGGAGGTGACATATTTTCCTATGGATTGCATGTTTAGGAAAGATTTCAATTATCCTTCATTAAGGAAACTTAGTTTGGTGGGGTAGGAAATCCTTGGCTAGAATTGCTTTTCTTTGAGAATGAATGTTGAAAATGGGCTCTCAGTCTCTTCTGGCTTGCAAGGTTTCTGCTGAGAAGTCTGCTGCTATTCTGATGGGTCTCCCTTGGTAAGTAGTCTGTTCCTTCTCTCTAGCTCCCTTGAGGACTTTTCCTTTCATGATAACCTTGGAAAGTTGGATTATTATGTGGGGATGGTCTTCTAGCGTTATAGCACACAGGAGTTCTCTGAATAGTTTGTGTCTGCACGACAACCTCTAACAAGATAGGGAAAGTTTTCTTGGATGACACTTTGGAAGGCTTGTTTCAGGGTGTTCTCAGTTTCTTCTTCTTTCTCAGGAATGCCAATCAGCCATAGGTTTGGTATCTTTGCATTATCTCAGATCTCTCATAGGCTTTACTCATTTTTTTCTAATTGTTTCCTCCTTACTTTTGTCAGACTGGTTAATTCAATGATTTGATCTTCAAACTCTGATATTCTTTCTTCTGTCTGGTTGATTCTGCTGTCAGTTTGGTCTTTCTTAGAATGACTAGGCCAACTTTCACTTCCTGTACTGTTTTTATGGTCTGAATGATTTCAGTGTCTACTTTCTCCTGGATCTCATTAAGTCTCTTTGTCATATGTAGTCTGAATTCTATGTCTGTTATTAGGGACAAGTCATCCTGAATAGGTTTCATTACTTGGGTTCTAAGAAGACCCTTTGTGGGTTTTGAATTGTTATGGCTTTGAGGATTGCTGGAGTTTTTGCTCATTTGTTTG